CTGTTGAGATGGGTCCCCACAAGTCTATACAGGGGTGTAAGGCACTCAGAGTCTGCAGACCCCTGATTTCTGTGCCACCAAAGGACCTGTGCCGACCCTGTATTCCTGGCCTAGGGGAGCCAGCAGCTTATATATTCTGTCTCCAAGGCCAGGAGAATGGGTCAGGGCACCTTTTGGGATCTACTTCCGGCCCGGTGGACTCCCGGTGCAGAGCGGGGAGGGAGAAGGTAAATGGAAGAGAGGTTTTTCCCAAATCTGGTGCAGAGCGTGGAAGGAGGAGATAAAAGGGAGAGAGGTTTTTCCCAAATTCGGTGCAGAGCGCAGAGGTAGGAGGTAAAAGGGAGAGAGGTTTTTCCCAAATGGGATTTTTTTTTTTTTTATTTTTTAATCACCACGAAAGGATGCACACATGTACTTATCCTAGCCTCTTGGGAGCTGCTCTTCACTGGTTCGGAGTGTCCAAGCAGAATCTCTGCTGCTGGGACTCAATGTGGAAACTGCTTCTCGAGAGCGTGCACAGCACAGCTGTTTGCCTGCTTCACTGCGGACTTGTGTGGTTGTGTCTCTGCAGTTTCGCCACTGCAGCTCTAGCACTTCTCACCTCTTCCAAACGGTCTTCCTCTCCCATATGACTCAGAAGGATTTCTTAACCTTGCCTTGTTCAGGACTGCCAGATGTTCACATAGAATCAAATCACTTGTTTTTCCAGGTCTTTGTTGTAAGAGGGATGTAGGAAGCATCTAACTACTCCACCATGTTGACCACGCCTCTTAACAAAGAATTATATAGCAAACACTAACATAACAAACACTGTCTGCCAAGTACTGCTTTAAGATCTTTGCAAATAATAAGTCATTGATAATACACTAGCTGAGGCTGGCTGTCCTCTTTAGTAAGCTTTCCCAGAGAAGTCTACATTCATCTCATTGGCCAGAACCATGTCACATGGCCAACCCTATCTGAAAAGAGATCTGGGAAGGTAAGCACTTCATACTGGGCACATCTGTCACCTGAGCAAAATTGAGATTCTCTGAGTAGGAAGACAGGAAGAATGCACACTGGGCATGCAATTAGCAGAGTCTGTCAAATGTGTATAACAGGGCTGTTGACTTGGGCCACTGCATGATTGACCAGGGTCACTTCAACTCAGCTGTCTAGATGATTTGTACCAATCACTGAAGTCAGATGAAGCATCCAGAGACATGAAAGAAGTCACACTGGCTTTCACAATCATCTGAACAATTGGTTTTACTGTGGCCTAAACTGATGATTGTAGTGGCCTTTTTATTTTTCTGTTTTGATTGAAAGCCACAGATCCACAGGGATGGGGTTTCAGGGATTCAGAAAGGGCAGCATACGTCCCCTTTTACCCTGGGACAGTATATGGAGCATGGAAGAGGACAATATGAGACATTCAGCTCCTCTGTATTTTTCAGTAGCTTTGTTGGGATAGAGAGTCTTACCTGTCCAACAAGATGACAAGCTTCTGGAGGGCAAACTCATTTCTTACACTGCTTCATTGTTCCCACAGGGATTAACAGAGTAGATATTTAAACTTTGTCACTGATGTGTAAACCTAATGAAGGCAGTTTACTCAGAAAATTAGAGTTTCAACTTAAGAACAATTCACCAACTCCTCTTAATATTCAGCTCACTTCATTCATCAAGATCAGTGACTCCAAGGGATAAGAGTTATATATCCCATAAATCTACCACCTAAGTGCAGCTACTAGGAAAACTTACCATTTTTTGCCAGAATCTTCAAGGTACAATTTGATGTTTACAGAATATCAATGTAGGAAGGGAACTTTACTGTCATTTAATCCTGCCCCTTCTATTTTTTTTTTTTTTTTTTACTTAAAAAAATTTTTTTTTAATGAGAAAACTGAGATTCAAAATGATAAAGTGTCTACCTATAGGATCTGTGTGTGTGACTTTAACGTTTTACTTTGTATTTAATCCATGCAATTTCAACTGCATGCATATAAGCAAAATGCCTCATTCTCATCTCATATCCTTCAGTAAAGAGGTCAGTCTAACACTAATGCAGCATCAGAGGGAAGCAGCAGTTATTTTTTTGGCTTGATATTGTATACTATTTTTAGCACTAAATTATAAAAATCCTTTGAAAGCTATTGATCCTTTCAGATTACAAAGCCTATATTTGCTTCCAAAAGGAAAATACTTTTTGAAATTGTTTTTGACAAAAACAATAGCTGTTCCCACTTCCATAGGTGGGAGAAGTTTAAAAAATAGTAATTTATTTCTGGGTGGTTGGTGCGTGGGGGTAGAAAAAGGGGTAGGTGGTATTTTCTCCTGCTGACACATTAAATTGCTCTGAATCATTATGTAGAGAAGTCCAATGGCAATTCGTTTGTCTGGGTTCCTTCTACAGAAAACAACTATATGGATACTTTATCGGAACAATTATACATTTCACGTTCATCACAGAGAGACGCTGTGATTTACTGGAAAGAGCATGGATTTGGTACAAAGACCTGAGTTTGAATCACTGCCCTGTCATATACTAGTGCTGTGATCTTGAACAAGTCATTTGACGTCTTTGAACCTTAGATTCCTTTCTGTAAAATGGGGGCAATGCGGCCTAAAATTATTGTGAGGATTATGTACATTTCAAATGATGATTTATTTCTACTTTTCTACTTTGTGTTTGTACAGAGAGAAAAATTCATAAAGCTACTGGACCAGCTACACAACTCTTTAAGGATTGACCTGTCAAAGTATAGGGTATGTACGAAATGATTTCTCCAAAGGTGAAGTATTGTGTTTGGTCCAAATGGTTTCTTGTGGTATTGTAAAAATTATCCCCTATATAATGGAAAAGTATAATACTGATCTCTGATCCTGTCACATGAGGGGGTCTAAGTAAGCTAGGTAGCCAATCCATTGTTGTTCAGGTACTTTGCCCCACATATGCCTGCAACAATATGCTGTGTGAGTGTGTTGTGTGTGCGTGTGTGTGTGTGTTGTGTATAGCTTTAATTTTAAGGTTTTTTTTTTAACCATCATAACCATGGCTCTCAATTAGTTCCTAAGGTACACATGACCCAGTCCTCATTTTGAAAGCCCATCCCTGTGACTGAAATACTCTGCTGATATTTCCCCAGTTTATGGGATTCCTACTCAGATTCACTACTTAATCCATTCCTCCAAGATTGGTACAATGTGCTTTACTGAAGCTGTCGAGTATTATTTTGAACAATTTCATACTTTGCCCCATATACATTTATACTTCACACATTGTGCCCTTTATAATAACTCTATGTAATCTGATAAACTCATCAGGGATGATAGGAGCAGAAAAGTGGTAGGGCAGAATTTTGCAGTATACAAACCGTGTTCAGAATGTTTCTCTAACCTTGTGAAGTTGTTAGAATGGAGAGAAGGTACTGCAATCTAGTGGTGTGTTGGAGGTAGCTTATACCAGGTCACAAAAGCAGATTGTTAAATTTTCAGGAATTTTGCCATCCGGTTGTTAAACACAGCCATTATTAAAAATTAAATTATTTTAATATGTTATCTAATTTTAAATTTATATAAAGTTAATACATACTCAAAACTCATCACAGCCTATGTATTTTACTCCATCTTACTATTCTTTCTGCTCTTGAGGCTGTTTATCTGCCTGGTGGAAATGACTCACAAGAGTGGTTGCTGGCGTCTCTTCCCTATTGCACGCTCATGACGTCATGTTGGTAGCTTTAGATCCGTCATGGTAAAAAAATGCTACCAAAAGGGTGTGATTTAGTGCTGAAGCTGGTTGTAGTGGAAATACCGCGCATCTGTTTAGGTTTAAAAATAAACAGTTTTATTATGCCGAAGAAAGCGTTCTGTAAAACAGGGAGAGACAGTGCTGGGAAAACCCAACAATGTGTTCGACAGGGAGTGGGTGACTACGATAATACAAAGACTTATGAAGAAAAAAACCAAAAGCAGCAGATTATAGCTAAAACAATTTTGATTGGTTAATATATACAAAGCTGCAGGTGGCGACCCCTTGGTTGACTGGCAGATGTTGACATCTTTTGTAAGGATGGCTCTAGGTAACAGTATACTGGCTGACTACTAAAACCACATGTTTTCTGGCATGTAGACATCTGTGGCACAGTGGTTAAGTGCTAACAGCTGCCAACCAAAAGGTCAGCCGTTTGAATCCACCAGTTGCTCTTCGGAAACCCTATGGGCAGTTCTACTGTGTCCTATATGGTCGCTATGAGTCAGAATCGACTGGACAGCAGCGGGTTTGATTCTTTGGTTAGACATCTGTAGTCTACGTTAAATTGAGTTAGTTAAGCATTAAGATGGAGGATTCTGTTGAAATGTAAAACGAAAAGTTCTAGGGTGATTATAAGTGGAAATGCTTAAGGAGAGAAAAAGGTTTTTGATGCAGAAAAGCAATAACTTTGTATCATTAGTTTATTCTAATTATAAGTTTCAAGGGGGGTTAGGCTGAACAAGGTTATAAAAAAAATACAAGGCTTCATAAGGACCTAGGCACAGGCTAGAAAAACATTTTTTGAGGGAGGGCAAACGGGACATTTTCTGAGAACCAGCATAGTAGTTAGAGTCAAATGTTTTAACACCTGCATAGGTCTTGGTTTATTTTTTTTAACATCGACCATTTCTAACTACAAATGCTTCCTCTAGCAGCAAAACCACATCTATCTAGGTAGGTCGGGGTAGAGTGGAAGGCTTTGCGAAATGTCCAGCTGCATTATATGACAAAGCAGAAAACTAAGATAGAGTCACTTAGGACAAGAAAGGATTGGGCTCAGACCCTAGCTAGAAGTCCCAGTCACACCAAAGTTTTTAACTTTGAAATGCTCATCGTCAAGCTTAAAGAAGTCTTATCTTAATGAATATAATTTGTGTGAAGGCCAGAAATAGTTTAACAGGAGACTACTTAGAAAATTTAATGACAATAAATTTATTGGCAAGAGAATTAGTGGATTGAGATACAATTCCATTTGTCAAACTATGGTTGAATTATAGCCATAGAGATACAAGAATTTGGTAAAAAAAAAAAAAATCATTCTATGAGAATCAACTGGCTATATGACATTTACAGTTAAGAGTATTAATATTGAATATTTTAATTTCATTTGTAAATTTTGAGCTTTATATCCTTTATATCAGTAAAATTCATAGTCAACATAGGTACACATTTTGTTTTGCAGAGCTGGTTGTTAAACATTTTATAGCACACTACTAAATTAGATCCACTTTATAGACAAGTAACATGAATTTCAAAGAAGTAAGCCGCTTTCTTACAAAAGTAATAAAGAGAGGACCAGGATTTGAGTGCAATTCATCTTATTCTACGGCTAGGGCTTTTTTCCAATTAACTTGAACTGCTGAAGGGTATACAGCCTTAACTTCTCCCTGTCCGATACAATTAATGCATTACAAAAGCAATGAAAGTATTGTTTAAAAATACAAACAATATGGAAGATTACAGATGAAAAATAAATTATCCAGTCTCTCTCACCCAAAATAACCATAGTATTAGGTATACTTTTAGTAACATTTTCTCTGCAATATAAAACCCTTTGCCATCAAGTCAGTTCCAACTCATAGTGACCTTATAAGACAGTGTAGAACTTCCCCCATAGGGTTTCCAAGACTGTAATTTTTACAGCCATGATACATCTATCACTTTGTCATACTGTGGTGGCTTGTGTGTTGCTGTGATGCTGGAAGCTATGCCACTGGTATTTTTTCAAATTCCAGCAAGGTCACCCATGGTGGGCAGATTTCAGTGGAGCTTCCAGACAGAGACAGACTAGGAAGAAGGAACTGGTCATCTACTTCTGAAAAATTGATCAGTGAAAACCTTATGAAAAGCAGTGGAACATTGTCTGACATAATGACAGAAGATGAGCCCCTCAGGTTGGAAACTGCTCAAAATATGACTAGGGAAGAGTTGGCCTCCTCAGAGTAGAGTCAACCTTAATGACATGGATGTAGTCAAGCTTTCGGGACCTTCATTTGCTGATGTGGCATGACTCAAAATGAGAAGAAACAGCTGCAAACATCCATTAATAATCAGAATGTGGAAAGTACAAAGTATGAAATATAGCAAAATTGGAAGTTGTCAAAAATGAAATGGAATGCATAAACATCGATATCCTAGGCATTAGTGAGCTGAAATGGGCTAGTATTGGCCATTTTGAATCACATTATCATATGGTCTTCTGTGCCAGAAATGACAAATTGAAGTCGAATGGCATAGAATTCATCATCAAAAAGAACATTTCAAGATCTATACTGAAGTACAATGCGTCAGTGATAGGATAATATCCATATGCCTGCAAGGAAGACCAGTTAATATTACCGTTATTTAAATTTATTCACCAACCAGTAAGGCCAAAGATGAGGAAACTGAAGATGTTTACCAACTTCTGCAGTCTGAAAATGATCAAACATGCAATTAAGACGGATTGATAATTACTGATGATTAGAATGTAAAAGTTGGAAACAAAGAAGAAGGATCAGTAGTTTGAAAACATGACCTTGATGACAGAAATGATGCCAGAGATTACATGATAGAATTTTGCAAGACCGACTTCTTCATTGCAAATACCTTTTTTCAACAACATAAATGGTGACTATACATGTGGACCTCGCTGGATGGAGAACGCAGGAATCAAATCAATTACATCTGTGGGAAGAGACAATGGGGAAGTTTAATATCATCAGTCAGAACAAGGCCAGGGGCCGACTGTGGAACAGACCATCAATTGCTTGTAGGCAAGTTCAAGTTGAAGCTGAAGAAAATTAACACAAGTCCGTGAGACCCAAAATACAATCATGAGTGTATGTATCCCACCTGTATTTTTAAACCATTTCAATAATAGATTTGATGCATTGAACACTAGTGACCAAAATCCAGATGAGATATGGGATGACATCACGGACATCATACATGAAGAAAGTAAAGGATCATTAAAAAGACAGGAAAGAATGAAAAGACCAAAATGGATGCCAGAAGAGACTCTGAAACTTGCTTTTGAATGATAAAAGCAAAGACAAGATAAAAGCAAATGGAAGACATGATGAAGTAACAGAACTGAACAGAAGATTTCAAAGGGCAGCTCAAGAAGATAAAGTATTATAATAAAATGTGCAAAGATCTGGAGTTAGAAAACCGAAAGGGAAGAACATGCTTGGCATTTTTCAGGCTGAAGGAACTGAGGAAATAATTCAAGCCTCAAGTTGCAATTTTGAAGGATTCTATGGGCAAAATATTGAATGATGTAGGAAGCATCAAACAAAGATGGAAGGGATACACAGAATCGCTGTACCAAAAAGAACTGGTTGATGTTCAACCATTTCAGGAGGTAGCATATGATCAAGAACTGATGGTAGTGAAGGAAAAAGTCCAAGCCGCACTGAAGACATTGGCGATAAACAAGGTTTCAGCACTTGTCTGAGTACCAATTGAGATGTTTCAGCAGACAAATGCAGCTCAGGAAGTATTCAGTTGTCTATGCCAAGAAATTTGGAAGACAACTACCTGGCCAATCAACTGGAAGGGATCCATATTTGTGCCCATTCCAAAGAAAGGTGATCCAATAGAATGAAAATTATCGAACACTATCAGTCATATACACAAGTAAAATTTTGCTGAAGATCATTCAAAAGAGGTTGCAGCAGTACTTTGACAGGGAACTGCCAGAAATTCAAGCCAGATTCAGAAGAGGACATAGAATGAGGGATATCATCGCTGATTATCAGATGGATCTTGGCTGAAAGCAGAGAATACAAGAAAGATGTTTACCTGTGTTTTAAGGACTATGCAAAGGCATTCGACTGTGTGAATCATAACAAATTATAGATAACATTGCGAAGAATAGGAATTCTAGAACACTGAACTGTACTCATGTGGAACCTGTACATAGACCAAGAGGCAGTCATTGGAACAAAACAAGGGGATACTGTGTGGTTTAAAATCAGGAAAGGTGTGTGTCAGGGTTGTATCCTTTCACCATACTTAGTCAATCTGTATACTGAACAAATAATCCAAGAAGCTGGACTACATGAAGAAGAACGCGGCATTATGATTGGAGGAAGACTCATTAATAACCTGTAATATGTAGGTGATACAACCTTGCATGGTGAAAGTGAAGAGGAGTTGAAGAACTTACTGATGATGATCAAAGACTACACAGCCTTCGGTATGGATTACACCTCAACATAAAGAAAAATCCTCACAACTGGACCAGTAAGCAACATTATAATAAACATAAAATATTAAAGCTGTCAAGGATTTTATTTTACTTGGATCCACAATCAATGCCCACGGAATCAACAGTCAAGGTATTGCATTGGGCAAATCTGCTGCAAAAGACCTCTTTAAAGTGTTAAAAAGTAAAGATGTCACTTTGAGGACTAAGGTGCACCTGACCCAAGCCATGGTATTTTCAATCACCTCATGTGCATTGGAAAGCTGGACGATGAATAAGGAATACCAAAGAAGAATTGATGCATTTGAGTTATGGTGTGAATATACCATACTGAATATACCAGGGACTTCCCGAAGAATGCACAAATCAATCTTGGAAGAAGTACAGCCAGAGTGCTCCTTGGAAGCCAGGATGGCGAGACTTCATCTCACGTACTTTGGACGTGTTATCAGGAGGGACCAGTCCCTAGAGAAGGATATCATGCTTGGTAAGTTAGAGGGTCAGCAAAAAAGAGCAAGACTCTAAATGAGATGGATTGACACAGTGGCTGCAACAGTGGGCTCAAGCATAACAATGATTATGAGAATGGCACAGGATTGGGCATTGTTTCATTGTGTTATATGTAGGGGTCGCTGTAAGTTGGAACCAACTCGATGGCACCTAACAATGACAACAATCTTTACGGAAGCAAATGCAACATCTCTCTCCCACAGAGCAGCTGGTGGGTTCAAACTCCCTACCCTTTTGTTAGTAGCTAAGGACTTAACCACTGTGCCACCATGGCTCCTTCTCTCTGTATACATCTAAACACACACACACACACACAAACGTGCACAAATATATTCATATATAGTATGTATGTGAATGCATGCATACGATTTTAGTTACAAAATATCTTAGTTACCAAAAACAATTTAGTTACAAAACATCTATAGTCTCTTCTACATCTTTCATTCTTTAACAATTTATCCCAAATATCTTTCCATTTCTGCATTCATTTTTAGTGTGTTTATTTAATGTCTCTTATTAATAGATAGGAGTCCCCAGGTGGTGTGAACAATCAATACACTAGACTGCTAATCAAAAGGTTGGAGATTTGAATTCACCCAGAGATGCCTAGGAAGAAAGGCCTGGCAATCTACTTCTGAAAAATCTGCCATTGAAAACCCTATGGAGCACAGTTCTATTCTGATACCCATGGAGTTGCCATGCATTGGGATCAACTCTACAGAAGTTCTTTTTTTTCTTTCTTTTTAATGGCTATCCTAATTTCATATTTACAGGCTGTCATGGATTGAATTGTGTCCCCCAAAAATACCTAACAACTTGGCTACATCACGATTCCCAGTATTGTATGATTGTCTACCATTTTGTCATCTGATGTGATTTTCCCATGTGTTGTAAATCCTACCACTATGATGTAATGAGATGGATTCATGGCAGTTACATTGATGAGATCTACAAGATTAGATAGTGTTTTAAGCCAATCTCTTTTGAGATATAAAAGAGAGAAGTGAGCAGAGAGACATGGGGACCTCATACCACCAAGAAGTTGGCACCTGGAGCAGAGTGTGTCCTTTGGACATGAGGCTCCTGTGCTGAGATGCTCCCAGACCGAGGGAAGTCTGATGCATCACAAGGACCTTCCTCCAGAGCTGACAGTGAGAGAAGGCCTTCTCCTGGAGCTGGCACCCAGAATTCAGACTTCTAGCCTACTGGACTGTGAGAATAGATTTCTCTTTGTTAAAGCCATCCGCTTGTGGTATTTCTATTGTAGCAGCACTAGATGACTAAGACAGAGGCCTTCTGAAAATTGTAATACCCAATTTTTTCAAGTTAAAGTTTAATGTTGGAACTGGGACCAACATTATGAGAAGAGAATAACCATGCCAGGCATTGAAAAAGACGTTTTGGGGCAATCAGGGATTTGAGGCCACCTTATTCTCCATCATTCAGGTACCTCCACTCTGCTCGAGTTCATGGATGCCTGGAAGTTAGCTGTGGTTTTCTTCATGGCTGTTCATAAAGCCAGTCAGTGTGTCAATATGAGATATTTCTCAACCATAAGGTCGTTTCATAGGTCAAACATTTTTATAATTACACTTTTCATTTGCTTCAGAATTTCTGAACATCTGTATTTTGTAATGGCATTTTACAACTAACCTCATTACAAAAATATTTGGTTGAAATCCACAGTACTTCAAGGAGAGACTAATGCAACCTTAAGTTTTTAACTTTGATACGTTTCTTTGTGACTAAAAGTAAATGTAACACATTTAGAAATCCCCAAAGTATTTTTGAAAAAAAGAATACCTGTCTTCAGAAATATGAAAATATTTTTTCAAACATATGCTGCCTTCCTACTTTTTGTGGCAAAAGTATTTTAGAAACAAGGATCAATAACCTAATAGCCTTGCATCAATGATATTGCTTTGTATGTTTTTATTGCGTTGTAAGGATAAATAGAAGGTATGGTTTTCTAAGACTAAGAAGATAATATTTCCAAATTATATATTATCTGTAATATTTTATGATAAAAATATTGTAACAATAGCTTAGAGATATTTTGAGTCCCTGGGTAGCACAAACCGTTACACATTCAACCAGTAGCTGAGAGGTCGGCAGTTTGAACCAACTCAGAGACGTCTGTGACGGGCCTGGGGATCTGCTTTGCAAAGAGCACAGCCAGGAAAACCCTATGGAGCAATTCTACTCTGCACACACAGGGTCACCATGAGTTGGCCTCAACCTGACGTCAGCTAACAACCACCACAAAGGGCTATTTTATAAGTTTTACATGTTTACTTTCCTTTTTTCTTTTTTTTTACAGAAAACTAGTTTATTAGTTTATTTTAGTTATTTGGTGATAACTTTACCCTGTACCTTTTCTGTTTCCTAATTAACCAGGAAAATTTTCCCGCCAGCAATGCTGAAAGACTGCAAGACCTGAAATCAACTGTTGACCTATTAACGAGCATCACCTTTTTTAGGATGAAGGTATCTCATCTTATTTCTGTTACTGTCTTGATGACACATAGAACACACTTATCCCCTGGTAAATTCTTGTTTTATCCTCCTTTTGATCACCACTGTTCAGCCCCAGCGATTCAGTCATGCTGCCTTTGCCTGAGCTAAATGAATCTTCCAATATGTGGTGGTTTGAAGAAGGGATTTTCCTAGCTACTAAGGGTATTCTGATACATTTGGCTCAAATGTAGTTTTAAATTAAATCTGTCTAAACAAAGCGCTCTAGTAAATCTAAGTGGACATGGCTCTTTCAAAAAAAAAAAAAAAAAAGTCCTGAAAAATGTTAAATGGAAATGGAGTTCACTTCTTATTTTAGCTTAACCCAGGCATGTTGCTGACTTTTTCATCTCAAGAGAGTAGCTTGACTCTTAAGGTTGCCCGATTTTGCTGAGTATTCTAACCATGTTGTTCTTTCTGCTGTGTAACCTTCCCAGTTGTAGTCACTTCCATTGCTAGCCCTCACAGTGTCTACCTGGGAATATATCTGATCACTTCATCTGTTAAGTAATTGGCTATTATCTACCAAACTATGCAGGCATTTCTTTTTAGATAAATCTCCTCTGCTTCAATAGCAAGTTCTCCGCAATCATTATCTTGGCTAGTAGGACAGGTAACTGTTCAGGTAAAACCTTTCCTAAAATTACTTGCCAGGCTATGGGCTGAAAGTTTCTCTTTGAGAGTATTATGCTGCTTCTTCGTAAAATTCCTGGACAGAGAAGAAAAAATTAAGAATGTTTTTTTCTTTACAGTTGTCCAATAGTTTCTTTCACTAGAGGCACTGAAAATGGTATTTTATGACGCGAGAGGCAGCAAACAAACCCCCTCTGTATGTCAAATAACATTTAAATTCCTTAAAGTTCAGTTAAAATTCATTTGGTTTAATATCAGGGTTAAATTAGGTGACTAGGATAAATAGAAAGAATGGAAAAGGGGTTTATTTTCAACGTCAACTCTGATGTACTGGCAGTAGCTGCAAGGCGCAGTGTGTAGACAGTGACGATGAGGACTGTCAAGGCTCAGTGGGACAGGGTACTTGCCTTACAAATGAAGTCGGCCGTACACATTGAGGGGTGAGGAAATGGCAGTGACGGGTGGGAATGCCAACACATGTGTGATACATTTGCCATTCATCAGTAGCAACTTTGCAGTGTTTAGAAAACACAGTCTCCTCAGACTTTCAATTCCACTCCTTCATCCTCATTCCTAGCTGATGATCTTGCTTCCTATTTCACTGAAAAAATGGCAGCAGAGAAGAGAGTATCCCACCTCCTACCACACACTCCTGCCATTCACCTCATCGAGCTGCTGACCTGTATCTGTGTCCATGGGCTGTTCTGTCTTTTGTATTACTGTTGACGAACCGTCTATTGTCTTGGAAACGGCATCTCTTCCACCTGGGCGGTTGATTCCACCTCCTCTTGCAGACAAAAACATCAGCCCAGCAACCCTCCCCTCTTTACTGAATCATCAGTTTCCCCCTGTATCTTTCCTATAACCAAACTATTATTTTTCCAGTCTTAAAAATACTTCCTGACTCCACTTTATTGTGGTCTTAATTTTATTTTCCTAATAACTAATGATATTTAGCATCTTTTCTTGTGCTGATTTGCCATCTGAATAATATCTTCTGTGAAAACTCTGTTGAAATCTTTGCCAAGTTTTTTATTGGTTGTTTGTTTGTTTTTATTGTTGAGTTTTGAGGGTTCTTTATATGTTCCAGATGTATGATTTGCTAATACTGTCTTTGTGTCTGTGACTTGTCTTTTCATTCTCTTTACAGTGTAAGTTTTCTTTTTAATTTCTATGACGTCTAATTTATTATTGTTTTCATTTATGGATAGTGGTTTTGGTGTCGTATCTAAGAAATTTTCGATTAAACCAAGATCACACAGAAAGAGTTTTTCCTATGTTTTCTTCTGAAAGTTTTGTTTTACTTTTTATACTTAGGCTTGTGTTCCATTTTCGGGTATTTTTTATAAAACGTCTATGGATGTTCAATTGTTCCAGCACCATTTATTGAAAAATTTATTCTTTCTCCATTGAATTGCCATCATGTCATTTTAGAATAAAAATCAATTGACCCTATTTGTGTGGATCTATTTCTGGACTCCATACTTTCACCAATATTACACTCTTTTGGTTACTTTAGCTTTATTGTAAATCTTAAAATCAAGTTGTGTTATTCCTACAACTTGTTTCTTTTTCAGAATTGTTTAGGGGATTTTTTTTTTTTTTTTTCCCTCGGATTCTGATTGGGATTTCATTAAATCTGTAGGTCAATCTGGGAAGAAGACATTTTAACAATGTTGAGTCCTATCATCTATCCTTATCTTCTGAACCCACTCCATCCATTTACCCCATCACTTCAAAAATGATCTTGTCAAAGTCACCAATGGCCATTGCTTTGCCGAATCTAGTGGTCAGTTATCAGTCCTCATCTTACTCAACCTTCAGCAGCATTTGACACGTTTCATCAGTCCTTCCTCCCAGAAACCTTCTCTAGATTTCCAGAACACCCATCTTGCTTGTTTTTTCTCCTACCTGATTGGCTGCTTATTGTCAGTATCCATTGCTTTATTCTTTCTTATTTACCTGATGTCCTAGGGTTAGTTACCCAGAATTTATGTTGACCTCTTCTCTTCTCTATCCATACTCACCCAGTTTCATTTCTTTAAATTCTCCTACAAACTGATAATTTTCAAATTTGTATCCCTAGCTAAGACATGTCTACTGAACTCCAGACTTATGTATTGGTTATCCAAATGCCTGCTTGAAATCTGTGCTTGTACGTCTAATAGCCATCTCAGTCTTTACCGTCCAAAACTGAGCTCCTGTTCTCTCTACCACAGTCTTGTCCATCTAAGCTGAGGCCACCTTCATTGTACCAGTTGCTCAGGTTAAAACCTCAAGGTCATCCTGACTCCTCTTTTACTCTCACGTCAATCATCCCATTGATTGGTAAATTCTAGTGGTGGTTTCTTCCAAACTTCACCAGAAGCTGATTTCATCCAACCATCGTAGACCTATCCCCTTAGTGCAAGTACCTTCTCTCCTGACTGGGTTATTGCTCTGCTTTGTCTACTGCCCCTCTTAAAGCAGCAAGAGGGAATATTTTTAAAAGATGAGTAAATTAGATCATTTTGCTTCTCTACTTAAAACTCTCCATTTCCTTCCCACCATGCTCAAAGATAAAGTTCTTAACAACTGAAAAAAAAAATGGTATTTTTATATTAAAGGCAATTTCATTACCATTGCGGACAGGCCAAACGTGCACTAAAAATGGCTTGGTCCTATTTCCTCTTACCAAAAACCAAACCAAACCTGTGCTGTCAAATCGATTCTGACTCATAGTGACTCTACAGGACAGAGTCGAACTGCCCCGTAGGGTTTCCAAGGAGTGGCTATTAGATTCAAACTGCCGACTTTTTGGTTAGCAGCTGAGCTCTTAACCACTGTGCCACCAGGGCTGCGCCTGGCATATAGTGGGTGGTCAATATTTGTTGAAAGACTGAATGGAACAAATGAATGAATTATTCTGTGACTGATCACTGTGTTCCATTTGAATATTTACCACCATGATTATTTTCAAAAAGTTGTCATATAAGAAAGTTAAAATGGATATTTACACATTTAAAACATTTTTCTAAGGCCGTATTTCCTGAACACACACACACACACAAATCAGCTAAAAGCATTTTTTTGAATATTGTTTGGGTTATTTATACTGGGTTGAAATGTTCTATTTTGAGTTTAAGATCATAATTTTTCTGCAGGTACTGGAGCTACAGAGCCCCCCCAAGGCCAGCATGGTGGTGAAGGACTGTGTCAGGGCTTGCCTGGATTCTACATACAAGTACATTTTTGACAATTGCCATGAACTCTATTCCCAGCTGACAGACCCGGTAAGAAAAGATACGTGTCTTTTATGATCTCTACTTCTCTGTTTCTAATCAGTGCTTCAGTGAGCTTAGAATGACAGTAAAAGAGAAGAAACATTCATTTAATTTCATATTAACCACAGATTTTAGAATTTTCATATCTTTTTTCACATTTGCATGTCGCTTACATACACATGAACTAATTCACTCTTTCTAATAACTTTATGTAATAAAGGTAGATGCTATTGTTGTTCAAGTTTTTCAGTTTTGAGGAATTAGTTTTAGAAGAATTAAGGGATTTGCTCAAGGTCACACAGCGGGTAAGTAGCAGACTTGGAAATAGAACTTAGAATTCCAGCTCCTGATTATATGTTCTTTCCTAACAAATGCTGCTTCTCTTGTTATTTTACCTCATAAAAGTGATAGTTGGGGAAATTTTTATAGAGGAGGGTAAAATTGTCATGTGTTATTTTATTATTTATGAAATGTTTCAAAAATACAAAAGAAGTACAGAAAGTAAGCATCCATGCTCATCACTGAGATAAGCAAATGTCAACCTTTAGCTATATTTGCTTCTGCTCTTTGTTTAAGATATTAAATGTTACACGTGAACTAGCATATATCCCCTTGTACTTCCGAGTTCCATTTCCCTCCCTTCCTGCTTCCCCAGAGATGAACTCTATTCTGATATTGGTAAATTGAATGTCTTTTACATGTTCAACTGACAACTTGAGTTTTCTCTTCAGTGAATTGTCTTTAATCCTTTGCTCATTTTTATGTTGACCTGCTTTTTTCTAGTAATTTGTATAAAATTCTAAAATGTATTCTAGATACTAATCCTTTGTTGGTTATGTGGATTTCATATATTGTTTCCCTCTTTTTGGAAAACCTGGTGGCATAGTGGTTAAGAGCTATAGCTGCTAACCAAAAGGTCGGCAGTTCGAGTCCACCAGGCGCTCCTTGGAAACCATATAAGGCAGTTCTGTTCTGTCCTATCGGGTCATTATGAGTCGGAATCGACTTGACAGCAACGGGTTTGGTTTTGGGGGTTTTCCCTCTGTTTAATGGTGTATCTTTTTGTTGTATTGAAGTTTTCTAATGCACACTATGATTTATATATTGCTATTTTATAAAATAGAATGTTTTTGCTTGGCTTTTTGATGTGTGTATATTCCATAGCCTCTTCCTTGAAGAATTCAATTGCTCCACTAGATATTGGCACCTGTGAAATTACCTGCGGAACTTCTTGGTTACTTGGGTGAGGCAGATCCTAGAAGGAAAACATTGGATGAGGAGAGTAGGAAATCTGACTCTTTCAAGCTGGGTTTCATACGGTAGTTCATTTTCTTAGAGTCTCTTATTTCTTAGCCTAATAGGAGAGAAAAATCCAAAGCTGGAGTTTTTCATTGTAAAAGCAAAGCAGTGTATAACCAAATAATTTTTCTTATCACCCCTGTGAGATGTGCTGCAGTTTAGAAACTTAGTGTCTGGGATTTCTAAGGATTACGTTAGCCCTCGCTTGTCCTCTCACAATGCATGGCTTTTTAGTGGCTTCTCTTTGTCTATTCTCTACTCTCTGTTCTCCTCCCACGAGGATCTTTCACGTTTTCAATATTATTGTCTTCATTTTATCTAAAAGATAAAATCTAAACTCTTTATTGTGCCATATAAGTTACCCATTTATAACCTCCGCAATCAATCTTACCAGACCTTAACAGCCTCAATTTCCTACTCCTTACAACCCCAATCCCAAACAGGTTCCTGCCCATGGGCCCTACATACAATAACTTCCATGAATAAGCCATTCTCTTTCTCACTTCCCTGTGTTTATATATCCTGATCTATATACCTAGAATGCTGTTCCCTGACTTTCTGCCCACTGGTCTCCTACTCCTCATCAAAAGCCGGCTCAAATATGACCTCCTGGTCTACTAACTCACATCCAGGCGATGAATCAAACCACCGAAGTAAAGTGAAGTACGTTACTTAGTGTCTTTCTAATACAAAATAAGTAAATGGTTTTATTTCTGTAAAAGAGTCTTGTGGGCGGTTTCCACAAAGCACAAATGTCCCGAATGAAAAACAATTTAATTGTGTCACTTCTAAATAAATTTAATATAGCTAAATATTCGCTGACTTGGCTTTCAAAAAAAAAGAGTATTTACATACATTGCTAACAGACTAGTTTTCTTTTTTATATCAAATAAAAAAGTTTTCTGTTTTATATAAAATTTAGGGATTTTCTATAAAAACATTGTCATTGTGAGGAAAGTTTGGAGCTGAATTGTAAATCTAAGAAAAAAAAGTTTTTCATAATCATTGTTCTCATTTAAAATTCTAAAGAAGAACCCATCGAATCTGAATAATTTAGGAGACTAATACTCCCTAGAGCCCTTCTCGAGCTATCTGGGAAGAGTTTAAAAGATTAAGGCTCATCTTCTCTTGGTTGACTGCAGCTTCATCCTCCTGGGCAATTGGGTTAAGGTTTTTTTTTTCTCACACCGCACATCTGACATGTCATTAAACCTTGATGAATTTACCTTTGAAATAGAATACTTTATCTTCAAAATATATCCAGAAGCTGCCCACTTTTCACCACCTTCATTTTTTCACTCTGACCCAAGCCACTATCATTGCTCAAATGGATTACTGCATAACATCCTAATAGAGTTCAGTGCTCCCACCTTCCAATTTGGTCTATTCTCAACAGAGAAGCCAGAGTGATCTTTTTTAAATGTAAGTTGCATCATGTCACGCCTTTGTACAGAATGCAGAATTCACAGTCCTTTCAGTGGCCTCTAAGACATCACATGATCTGGCCCATGCTCTGCCTTCCATCCCTTATCCTCAACCCTTTTCTCCTTTGCACATGTGACCCACACTTTAAGAGAGAGGGGAGCCAGTGAAGACTGACTTACCTGCAAGAAAGTGACATAAACAATGCTGTATTTCAAGCACTTATAACAGTGCCTGGAACATAGTAAATCCATTTCTGTTCAGTTGATTCCAACTCATAGCAATCCTACAGGACAGAGTAGAACTGCCTCACAGATACTCAAAACACATTTGTTGAATGAATTGGATAAATGGATCAACAATGATTTTTCTCACATAGTACAATAAGAATTCAAAGATATATTTGGCCTACTTTAAACAAAACTGGAAGAAGTGACCCCTTATACAGAAGACTCAAGACTCACCTAATGTCTGTTGAATTTACACTGGGCCACATGGCTAGGTTGTGGCCTATGAAACATGGAAGAAATTGACCCTAAAAACATTGTACAATATCCTCCAGCTCTCTCTTCCTCTGCTGCAGTAACCTTGAAGGACACATATTCCAGGTAGCATAGTTGCCAAATGGTTAGATGTTTAAGAAATGTCATCATTGCAGTAATTCATTGTGATTTGGAGGTTTGTTGCCACAGCAAAACTTGCTCTATTTAACTAATAGAGCTTCAACTCCATCTTCCAATCTGCCAGTTGAGCTATCTATTTAAGATATATGCATATTTATGTGACTTTCCTATTTATAACTCTCAATGACTCCCCTTTCACTCATGGGATGAAGTCTAGATTTTTGCCATTATCCAAAGGCCCTCTGAGGCCTGAGCGCTGATTATCTTTCCTTATTTCAACCTCATGTCCAGTCACTCTTTACCTTGCATTTTATGATTCTGCATACTGAACTCCATGATGCTTTTGCCTACATTATCTCTATGTACTTGGAGTACGTTTCACCTCCCAACACCTCTTCTTGTGGTGAACTCCAGCTGAGCTGACTTTTTTTCTAGAAAGCGTTTCTGACCTCTCCTAACTGGATTAGGTGTTTCGATTTTCTGTTCCCCAAGTATGCTGACAAGACACCATCAATTCACTTACCATTTTGAATTTATTATGTGCAGAAGATAATATCTATTTGGTTTACCCCATTAGGCTGTAAGTTTCCTGCCAATGCCCAACATCGTGCCTGGCACAGAGTAGAGTTGGTAAAGTAATGAATGAATGAAAACAAATATATTTTATAAAAACAGAACTATCCTCTTATTTATAGTTTCCTTTAACTATTTTCACTTCGTAGTCTGCGGTCAAGAGCATGATCCCTGCTGTCACAATGACTGAGGTGTAGATCCTGGGTCTTCTGTGTATTGGTTGGGCAGCACTGGATGAGTCACTTAAACTCTTCCTGCCTCAGTTTCTTCATCAGGACATGTTTTTAATTTTCACAGTATTTCTGTTTTTTCTGAGTTCTCTTTAGATGATGTTACTCCTGAAACCAAAAATTAGTAATTTCAGGATTGTTAGATGCAGTGCAATTGTGATTACTTAAATGTGGAAGTACATATTCTCTCTCCCGTGGAAATTTGATGAACATATAAATGCTTGGAATAAAAAAGGAAAATAGACTTGAGAGAAAAGTAAACATTGCTGTAGTTAAAAGAACATGATAGAAGTGTGGTCTCCAGGAGCCAGCGACACACCCATGAAGTGCATTTACTTTGGTAAAATCACCAGGCTCCATGTTTGTTCTTCATTTGAGCATAACTAAGAACTCAAATTTGGCAATATAGGCAGAGATGATTGGCCTCTCGCATAGAGACGCATCAGAAACCAATCTATAAACTAGAATAGATACTTATTCAGTAAATACATATCAAACAGTATTGCATGCCAGGAAATGGCGTAGGTGCTGGGGACCCCTCAGGGAACAAATGTTTTTTTTCTTTTTTTTTTAATTAAAAAAAAAAACATTTCAAAGAGACTTGAAAATGTTTCAGGTCATTCTCTCTTGGAAGACCTCTTTATGAAGAGAAAATCTGTCATCTGAAGATAGCTTTAGGAACATAGAACAACAGCAAGGGAAATTAGTTGGATGATCTTAACAGTGACTGTCACTAAGCTAGATTACGTCCATTTTACTAAAACCTACATAAAGAGACTATTTGTGGGATGGAAAGGAGAATAAATAAAACTTAAAAAAAATACATTTCTAAAGAAGTGATCCTGAGCTAATGTCACACAAC